GACGATTCTGATTTTTCTAGCCGGGTCACCCTTATTTGGTTAGCCGTGTCACGTGTCACGTGACTTAGCCGGATAACAATATACATATCGAAAATGTGTACAAGGTTGTCAAGATTAGGTGTAACGTAACACGGTCAAAACAAACGTTCGTTCAGCCAAAAATTGCTCATAGCAAAAAAATCAGCATAGGAAACAACCTTATGTGCTCTAATAAAAAGTTTCCGTTGAACAATTTTACTATATAAACTATTCCCATCTAGATCCTAACTTTAACCCTAACCCTAACCTTTACGAATTAAGAATTTAGTCTTCGCCGCCAACCTTGTACACATTTACGATATGCAAGGTATATTAAGGAGACGGTTTTAAGAGTTTTTGAGTTACTTTTTCTCTTTGCTGCAGGCTCGACGCGAGTCTAGCTATTCGTAAATTCCTCCCACCCACCCGAAAAGACAGGTTTAGGCAGGTAAGGACATGGTAGCACAGCTGGACAAGTTGAATACCAAAGGATAGTGGGATAGCCCGGATGAACAATCCGGATATCTTACAGTTGTGGCGGAAAAATAAGCAATATAAGAATGATTACAAAGAGAAGGTTAGATTAGGAACGATTCTAGAAAACAGCCGGTGACCATGTGATGCAGTGAGGCGATATCCCATTTGTATATCTTGTAGTATTGTTTTTATGGGGGATCGAGTGACAAATTAAATTACTCAGATTGGTAATAATAATCCTTTCGTGATCTTAATATAGTGATCGGTGATTATCCGAGTAATTTGTTATAACGTAAACACTAACCGAAAATTTTTCATTTATAATAAACTGTGGTAATAAGTTATATATGATTGATGTATTATATAACCACCCTAGCGTCGCTCCAAAAAATCAATTACGTACCGGAATTTAAAATTAAACATCAGTACTTAATAACTCAAATAGCGATTCTAATGACTTATCGATAAATATACATATAGATATATATTACAATGAAGCAATATGCAAATTGAATTTAATTTATATTCGCTATACATACATATATTGTATATATTATATCCTTTTTTTTTATTAACGCTACATCTCGAAAAAAGATTAAATCTATCATCAATAAATAATATTTGAATTATCATCTCCTTCTATATATAAGTGTCTAAGTTAATTTTCTTAATAAATAATTATTTCGACAATTAGTTTGTCAAGATCAGTTTTCTATAGTTAGCGAAATTAATTTTTATAAGTGACGAAATTATTGTTGAAACTAAATTAAGTAATTATATTTGAAAGTTCATGTAAAAAATATGGCAATGGCAAAATTATTTTTATCAAAAATTATTTAGACATCTATGTATATCATTGTATTATCCTTTTCGAAGTTTTTTTATTTAATAGGCCAATCGCATTTAAATATTTCTTCGTTGAGAAAAAGTTTCCAAATTTTCAATAAACTTTATCGCTTAAGTTTGTTATGGAAATATACTATGTTTTTTAAGGAACCATAGCACTTCAATATCGAACTATTATGAAATTTTAAAATTACGAGTTAGTTATATCCAGAGTTCATACATAGAGATTCATTATATCCAAAGTCGACTGTATAAAAATAGCTTGTATAATAATAAAATAAATAAATAGTACCTTCACTAGTATTTCTTCTAATTCAATAACTTTATCATTCGTAACTTCAATATCATTGGCACTTGATTCATATTCATCCATACTTATTTCACTCTAGGATTAGATAATGCGGTGGGTATATAATTTGTTGAAGTTCATGAAGAAATTTGCTGAAACTTGTAAATTAGCAACTTTAAAACTATTTTAAACCAATTAATATAGTAATAACATAGTAATCAATAGTAGTCAATATATTGATAACACGTAGTAAATGTAAAACTATAACCATTACAAAGTAACTATATAGTTATTTTATAATTATTTTATAATTATTTTATAATTATTTTATAATTATTTTAAAATGGTTCTAAATTTGCTAATTTGCAAGTTTCAGTAAAGAATGGATGTTTATTATTTTGTTAAACCTTATATTAATATATTGAAAAAAGTTGTTTCTAGTGGTGATGGAACTAAATGCTTGCGAAAAGTAAACCAATTTTTAAAAAATATGGATATTAATAATGCTTTTTAAATTCGGATAAAATAAACTTCTTTTCATGTATTCATATTTTATCTTCTTTAATATATATTAACCGTTATTTTTACAAAAAGTATTTAATTTCTGCTCAATTTGCAATATAAAGAAAATATATATATATATATATTTATCACTTACTGTAATTTAAAATTTTTTATTGGTGTTATTAACCAAAATCTAAAAAATTTTACACATTAAACTATCAAAACTATAAATTTGATCAAGTTTAAACTATACTTAATTTTTTGGATAATGTTTGGTTCGTAGTATTATATGTTTCTATTTGCTATTTTAACTACATCCAGAAATTCAAATCTGAATATTTTTACAAACTTTTAATGGCCATTTAAATTTACTAAAATTAATTAGTTAAGATGATTTTAATAAAATCTCTTTAGATTAGGCAAAATTTGCGCATTTATCTTCATAAAAATTTGATTGAATATTTTAATACGTAACTTTTATTTTTGCAAATATATTACATGATAACAAATATGCACTTTTATTTCTATAAAAAATACTAAATTTTTACAAAATAATAAATATGCAAATTTTATTAAATTTAAAAGTTAAAGAAATTAAATGTTGATTACTTTTTTTTTTAATGAACTTCAGAATTCACATTATTTTGCAAACTACAATAAATAATCCAATTAAATCATTTACGAACTCCTCTATTTGTTAGATTGAAACATGCAATTATTTGAAATGTCTTGAATAACAATTTTGCTGCTATTCATAGTACGAAATGAATATGTGAATGCCAATTGGAGTTCTCAGCACGATGGTTCATTGAGTCTAAAAGCATGCCATTAATAACAATAAATAATAACGCAATCTGTATTCTTTGAACTTTAGAAAAAAACCTTTTAACCAATTAAATTGATACAAATAAACAATATGAAATTCAGAACTTGGCATGCTATCTGGTATGTCAGATTTTTTATTGTGCTAAGAACCCTAATTTTAATGTTAGTTTTACTCCAAAATCTACTTTCCGTTCCTGACAGCGTTGCCAACTACCTTATTATTAATTATACAATTTAAACTTTTATTAATTATACAATTTAAACTTTTATTAATTATACAAAACTCAAAGAACAAATTATAGCTCCTTTAGATCTTTTCAGGAGAGTTAAATAATGTAAATGAATTAGAAACAATTCTTTTTAAGGTAATTTCTTACCATCTATTCTTTAAAGAAGATTTTCATAACAGATAAACACAAGGCTGTACATTAGGACAATCTTCTACAGGTGATCATCGATACATTTTTCTTTTTCTTCTCATTCATTTAAATTTCTCACGTTTTATTTCATTTCGCCGTTCAATCTTTCCCCAAGAATTTTCTTAGACATGCATCTGTTATTTCTATCGATTCTTCCATCGACGATCATCCAAGTTTTCGATGATCCTACATAATAACATTGATCAACCAGTGACCATCGATATATTTTTTCTTTATCTTCTCACTCATTTAAATTTCTCATGTTTTATTTCATTTCGCCGTTCAATCTTTCCCCAAGACTTTTCTTAGACATGCATCCGTTATTTCTATCGATTTTCCATCGACGATCATCCAAGTTTTCGATGATCTCACATAATATAACATTAATTGTTGAATTCGGCTGATCGAGATAATATGTATAAATAAATATGCAGGTTGACAAATGACCATTTGATCTACATGTTGATAACGAATGAATATTATTGGATACCTAACTCAGGTCACACAAGCCTAGTTTACAGTTTGCTTGCATGACTATCGTCAATGCAATGGGTCAATATGCTGTGTCACGTAGCAGTAACATATAGTCAGTAAGCATAAACGACATACAGTACTGTATATTTTTTTTTCTTTTTTTTTCGCATACAAAAAATCATGGCAAGCACGCATGACTATCGTCAAGGCAATGGGTCAATGAGCTGTGTCACGTAGCAGTAACACGCAGTTAATAAGTATAAACGAGATACAAATTTTTTTTTTTCGCATACAAAAAATCATGACAAGCACATCAGAAGAATGGCTTGAGAAAGCTATTTCCGAAGGATTTATTAATAATCTTGAGTATAATAAATTTACAGAACCTTTAATCATTGGAAGCGGTGGCTTTGGAAATGTTTACAAATACGAATGGAAAGATTGTGATTTAACGGTTGCTCTCAAATGTCTTAAAATTGATTCCAACAATATATTGAAGATTTTATTAAAGAGGTATTAATTATATAATCACGTGTATTATTTCCTAGTGTATACTGAATTACTACATCTCTATAATCAAATTATAAAAGCTTAAGCTACTACTAAGAGTCGGTTATCATCCTAATATTATTAAATTCTATGGAGTCACGAAAGGTATATATGAAATTTGCAAATTCTAAATTTGTATAATATAACTATTAAGAATATTTATTTTAATTAAATAGATAACAATGGATATTATAATATGGTTTTACAATATGCAAATGACGGAAATTTACGAGAATATTTAAAAGCAAATTTCGAAGTGTTGCAATGGCAAGATAAATTAAATATTGCCAATGAAATAGCGCGTGGTCTTTTATTCTTACACGATAACAATATTATTCATAGAGATCTTGTTAGTATATTACTTTTATTTGTTTGTGGAATTATATATTTACTGCAATAAATATTCTAACATATTTCTAACATATTTCTAACATATTTTGTAGCATTCAAAAAATATCTTAATTCATCAAAAACAACCAAAGATTGCAGATTTTGGATTGTCAAAACAGATAAACGAAACGTCTATGACTTCAACCTCGGTTGTTCGTGGAATGCCGGCATATATCGAACCTCAATATATCACCAATCACAAATATAAGCGTGATAAGAAATCTGATGTCTATAGCTTAGGGGTAATTCTCTGGGAAATTTCAAGCGGAAGGCCGCCATACCAAACCTTCGAATCAGAATATTCTCTGGTTTTCCACATAGCACAAGGAAATAGAGAAAATCTGATAGAAGGTACACCACCTAAATATATTGAACTTTACAACCGATGTTGGGATGGTGATCCTGCAAATCGTCCAGGCACAAAAGAAATTCTCGATACGTTGAAACAGCTTATTCCTGATGAAACCTTGAGTCTACATTATACCATTGAAACATCAACTCAAAATAGCAGTAATTCCTCCTCAAGTCAACAAGATAATCTGACTATATCCGTTAATTCATTCGATGTTACTACTTCATCTCCTCTTTATTTACCTAACACAATTGATATTACTGAAGCTTTGAGTCAACACATAATTTCTGCATCAACTCAAAATAACGATCCTTCCTCAATTCAAGATAATCCAACCGCACCCGTAAATTCATCCGACATTACATCTTCATCTCCTTTTTATTTTCATAAAACAACAAGTTCAACCACTTTGATGCAAGAAGATAACATTGAGAACATGAGAAAAGAAGTCCAAGACTATTTTAAGCAAGGCAAATTTCTCAAAGCAT